GATTTGTCGCCCACCCCCCCGAAAGGGGAGTGGTCGGTGCAGTCCTTCGTCCTCCACCAGCGCTCCGTTCGCGGCGGCCAGGCGACCGAACAGCACAGAACGGCATAAACTTGTGGAGCTTCGCGCGGAGTTCTTGGATCTGCGCCGGACCCCCTTCCCTGGCGCGCGGAGCGTGCCATGGGCGGCCATGGAGGCCCCGCCAGGGAGGCTCAGCGCCGCTCCAAGAGATCCGCGCGGAGCTCCACGAGTTTGTGCTGATGTAGTTTTTTCCCCATCTAGGTGAGGAAGATGGACGAGCTGGGCCACTTCGATGCCGGCTCGCAGGTGCTGCTGGTGCTGCCGCGGGGGGCCGACGTGCTGCTGCGCGGCGGGGAGCGCCTGTTCCCAGGGGATCCAGTGGCGACGGGGCCCGCGGCAGTGTGCCAGGGCTCGACCGGCGGCTGACGGGAACTCGCGCGCCCGTCGCTGCGAATAATAAGGGGGGGCCCTGTTGGAGAGTGATTCGTGGGCGAACAACATATACATATAACGGAGGACAGGGTCCGGGGGCCGGGGGCCGGAGCCCCGACCGCAAATGTGGGGCCCGGCACGCGGGGAGCCTTGCCGGAGCGCCGGGGGCCGTCCAAGATGGCCCGAAGATGGCTTCGGAACGCTCGAAAACGCACTCTGATGGCTCTGGATGCCTTTCAAGACGACTCCCGTGACGCGAAGGAGGCCCCGAAGGAACCGAAGACGCCCCAAGAGGCACCCCGAGAGAGCCCCAGTATGCAAAAAATCGTCGATTTCCCAGCGGAAGCTGATGTTTTTGGCGTGTTCGCCTTTTGGACTTCCACTGCGTCCAAGACGGCCCAAGAGGCACCCAAGACGGTCGAGGATGCTCCGAAGAGGGCCCCAAGACGGCCCACGACGGGGCCGACGGCCCACGAGACGCCCAAACCGCCTCAGAACACCCCAAGTCGGCGCCCAACACGGGGACGAGGAACTGAAGGTTCTAGCGTTTTGGCCCAAGAGGCCCCCTGGAGACCCCAAGAGGGTCCACGAAGCGCACAGGAAGCCCCAAGAGGCCCCCATGAGACCGCAAAATCACAAAAAAAGCCCCGAACACGCCCCAAGGGATACCCCAATAGAGCCTCAATGTGCAAAAGTCGTCGATTTCCAATGAGAAACCTTATATTTTTGGCGTGTTCGCCTTTTGGGCTTCCACTGCGTCCGAGACGGCCCAACAGGCACCCAAGACGGTCGAGGATGCCCCCAAGAGGGACCCAAGACGGCCCACGAGGGGGGACGGCCCCCGAGGCGCCCAAAACGCCCAAGAACGCCCCAAGGCGGCGCCTAAGACGGGGACAACGAACCGGAAATGTATGCTTTTTGACCCCAGAGACCCCCAGGAGACCCCAAGAGGCTCCAAGGGGCGCCAAGGAAGCCCCAAGAGGCCCCCATGAGACATGAAAAAACACCAAACGGGGCCCCGAAGAGGCCCCAAGAGGCACCCCAATAGAGCCCCAAATAATCAAACATCGTCTGTTTCCTGGACGAATGCTGCTACTTTTGGCGAGTGCGCCTTTTGGACTTCCACTGCGTCCAAGACGGCCCAAGAGGCACCCAAACGGTCGAGGATGCCCCCAAGAGGTCTCCAAGACGGCCCACGACGGGGCCGACGGCCCACGAGACGCCAAACCGCCCCAGAACACCCCAAGTCGGCGCCCAAGACGGGACGAGGAACTGAAGATTCTAGCGTTTTGGCCCAAGAGGCCCCCCGGAGACCTCAAGAGGCTCCAAGAAGCGCCCAGGAAGCCCCAAGAGGCCCCCATGAGACCCGCAAAAACACAAAAAAAGCCCCGAACACGCCCCAAGGGGTACCACAATAGAGCCTCAATGTGCAAAAGTCGTCGATTTCCTATAGGGAACCTGATATGTTTGGCGTGTTCGCCTTTTGGGCTTCCAGTGCGTCCAAGACGGCCCAAGAGGCACCCAAGACGGTCGAGGATGCTCCCAAGAGGGGCCCAAGACGGCCCACGAGGGGGCCAAGACGGCCCCCGAGGTGCCCCAAACGCCCAAGAACGCCCCAAGTCGGCGCCCAAGACGGGGACGAGGAACCGAAGATTGAGGCTCGGCTCCAAGAAGCGCCCAAGAAGCTCCATGAGGCCCCCAAGAGACCCGAAAAAACCCCAAAGAGGCCCCGAAACAGCCCCCCAATGGGCCCCCCAAAACGGCCCAAGAGAGCCCCAGGGCGCGCCCAAGAGGGTCGACCAGAGAGCTGGTCCGATTTTCCACACTCTACAAAGAGTCCGTCCCCGGCGGTGCCTCAAGCAGGTGTTGCCACTGGAGTCCCCACTTGCCTGAGACAAACTCCAAGCATTTTTTCGCACAGCGATTCCTGTGTCTGTGACGCGCTAGAACCTAAGCGCGTGCGAAGCGCGCGCGCGTGGTTCTAGTATCCGTATCTGCGGCCTCGCGGGCCAGGCCCCTGGGCCGCGACACCCCGGGGCGTTTGGTCGCGGGTGCCCCGCGCGGAACGTATCCGTGCGACCGAATATCCGCGGGATCGTGCCTCGGAATTTCGACCGCGAGGGCGCGGATCCAGATCTGTTCGCCGCTCGTATAGGTGATCCTCGAATATTTGCCCTCATGTTGTGCCTTCGGGCTCCCATAGCGCTCCCCAGGCTCAGGGCCCGTCACGAAAGATGGAAGATGTTCCCCGGCTCTTGCCCCTGGTGGTCGTGGCGTCGTCCTTCCTTGCCCCGACGTCAGAAGGAAGCCGGATACATGCGTCGGCTGGCCTGGTCGAGAGTTGGATCAGTCCACAGGTGGCCAGATGTCTTTTCGGGGATCGGCCCTTCTAGGGCTGGGCACGCCAGGCTTCCGCCTGTATATCCAGCGCGTGGCCTCGGGATGTTCCGCATAAGAATCCAGGCATGCGTGCCTCCGTCGCACCACTGCCGCTGCGCATGCAGCAATCGGAAACCTGCCGCCAGGGCCTCCAGTCCCTCCTGCCAGAGGCCGAGGCTCACCGTGACCCGCAGAGCATTTGGTTCCCTGTTTGGCGTCCTTCATGGCCCTCCTCCTCCTCATCCTCCTCCTCCTCCTCTCCCTTCCCGTCCTCCTCGTCGTCCTCCTCCTCCTCCTTTTTGGGACCCGTCGGAAGGCACCTTGGGGGCCTTCGGCTTGGTGGGTGGGTCTGGGCCAGTCTGGGGTAGCCTTGGGAGGACGAGGGGGAGGAAGGTTTCGGGGGGCAGGAGAAGGATGCGGAGATGGAGGAGGAGAAGGAGTAGGAGTAGGAGGAGGAGGAGGAGGAGGAGGAGGAGGAGGAGGAGGAGGAGGAGGAGGACTCTTGTCTCGCTGGGACAGGAGGAGGCCGCCATATCCCTTTTCCTCGTCTTCGACTTTGTCTCGAAAAAGAACTGCATAGACATGAACTTTCGACGGTCGACGTGCATGTCTTGGACCAGCGATGGACCCTCGCCCCTGGTCTGCGCCAGAGGCGCCGCCAGCGGGGTCCAATGCCGATCCAAGATATCCGCGCGGACCATGAAACGTTTCTGTTTACCAGTCGGTTGCTGAAAGGTCTTTTGGGGCCCCCAAAGCCCAATCTACTTTCGGCGCCTTTCTTCTCCATGGGTCGCACACGCTCCTCCTCCCTCCTGCTGAGGGGTCGGGCGGAGATCCAATCCATTCCGAACTCCTTCCTGCTTCATGTTCCCACTCACTTCTTTCGACCGACGGGTATGCTGAAACGTATACGTCGGCTTTTTGTTGGCCTCTTCCGGGGTGTAGTTTTTTTGGCAACGTGTGTTGGCTTTTGCTCTTCGTCGTCGTCGTCGTCGTGGCCCTCCCTCCTCCCCCGCGAGCTTTCACGCTCATGGGTCACACAGGGATCCAGAGTGCATCCTGGGCTCCAGACCAGCCGCCGTGCTCTGGTAGGGTCGTCCTGGACGCATGTCGGCGCCTCGCCTCGCCTCGCCTCGCCATTCGTTCGTCTCCGTCCCCGTCGCTGCCGCGCCGCCCCCTCCCCCCCGGATCCGCCCGCGGGGGGGGGGGGGCGGGCGTTGGGCACGTGCTGTCGGATCGGCTGGAGGGGGGCTTGGAGGAGGAGGAGGAGGAGGAGGAGGAGGAGGAGGAGGAGGAGGAGGAGGAGGAGGTAGGAGGAGGAGGAGGAGGAGGAGGAGGAGGAGGAGGAGGAGGAGGAGGAGGAGGAGGAGGAGGAGGAGGAGGAGGAGGAGGAGGGGGATGGGCAAGCTCCGTCGGAAAGTTCAATCCCCCCCCTTGATAGACGTGCCATCCAGAGTAACTATTCCATCAGTTCGTCTCCGTCCTTGTCACCGCAGCGCTCTTCCCTTTTCCTCGCCGCTGGCGCCCAGCCCGGCTGCGCCGTCGTCGACCTGGCCAGCGGGGACGAGTCCGGCGAGCACGGCGACGGCAGCGAGGAGACGGGCGTTGGCACGCCTGTGGTGCAGGGAGGTGCGGCCAGAAACTTGTGTTTCCCAGATGCAGTCAACCCGCATAGGAAGGATGAGCAATTTTCCTAGGTTGCTCTTGCATCCTTCCCCCTCGGCCCATCCTTTGCCGCTTTCGCTGGCTGCGCCCTGCTTGCAAAGTGTCCACATGGCCTTCCAAGGCCGTTGCATCCTTATCGTGCGTCAATATTTTGCGGGTTGACTGTAGATGGGGTCGGAGGGTCGCGCCGCATCTCCGCTGTATCGGCGATACGGCTCGATGTGGAGTCCGATCTTTTCCACGCCGACGTCGCCGATGCAGCGTACAGCTCGCCGATGCATTGACGGTTCATCGGCGGAGCAGCGCGATACATCAGAGATGCGGTCGGAATTTTGTGGCTTAGCGTGTCGCGCCGCCGGTTCTGGCCCACCACGAATTCCAGACCCACTTGAGTCATGAGAGAATCTCGACAGAAGGTTTTTCCATTGTTTTTTGCCTGCGGCACTGCATCGTTGTAGCATACTGTCACGCTACATCAGCTCATGACTCTCCAGTAGCAGCGCGCTGGACCAACTCCTCAGCGCCGTGAACACTACAGCGCTGCAGCGCTGTTGCGCTGCAGAGTTGAAGCGTTGCCGCGCTGCAGGGAAGCAACACTCACCAGCAGCAGCCCAGTGGACTTTTGTGTGGATCGTTGGAGCGTGGTCGGAGACTGGCGGTCAGCGTGCGCCGCCGGTTCTGGCCCACCACCCCATCGAGTCATGTAGAAATCACGCCGGGAGGTCTTTTGCTACTCTCGGCCTATGGTGGCCCTTGCTGGGCCTCGGCACAGTCAACAAAAATATTCAGGATGAAGCTCCGGTCCTGGGGGAATGGGTCGAGACCTTTGGGGGCCCACGTTGTGAACAAGCCGCGACGTGGTCAGAAACTTGTGGTCCGCGTGTCGCGCCGCCCAGTGTCTATGGTGTCTCCCGGGAGGTCCCTGAGCTGCGCGGCACTGCGTCAGACTTCTGGACGCCCGAAATGGGTACGGAAAGAATGGGTACTATGCCCAACAGCAGTTCCTGTTCATTTTGAACAGGACTCGCTGTCGGTGTCGCCGCGGCCTGTGTCCATTCGAGACAGAAGGCCGCCTGCCCAACACCGGCCGCTGCTGGTTTGGGACAAGATTTGTTGTTGGGCATTGTACCCATTCTTTCCGTACCCATTTCGGGCGTCCGAAACTGCCGCGCGGTGCCTGTCAGTGAGTGGCCTCTAGGGGGCGATTCACCCGGGGGGGTTCGGCGCCGCGGGGGTGCACGGCACGGAGCGTGCCTGCCGCCCGTGCCAAGCCACAGGTGGTGGGGATGTTGGGTTTTATGTTAGCCAGCGTGGGCCCCAAACAGTGTGTTTCTAGCCATCTATCTTGTGCAGTGTAATGTATGTTCTGCAGTCGATGTGGTGCAATCTGTCTGGTGCAATTTGTGTATGTATAGATATATGCATACACATAAATGGGGAGGGTGTCCCGGGGGCCCCCGAGTTCACTGATCCGGTAACCGGCCGTTTTGGGCCCGTCGGGGGGCGTCAAAGAAGGGGAAGAGGGGCGACGAGAGGGCCCGAGAGACATCCAAGAGTGCGCCAAGATGGCCCAAGAGCTCTCCAAGGGAGCCCAAGACCGCACAAGAGCGTTTCAATATTGTTCCAACATCCAAGACGGCCCCAAGAGGGGCCCAAGAGGGAGAACACATACCGACAATCACAGCCTTCCGCCCCAAGAGGCCCCCAGGAGGCCCGAAGAGGCCAGCAAGAGAACCCAAGAGGCCCCTTAGAGGCCCCCACGAGGCCCCACGAGGCCCCAAAGAGGCCCAAAAAGAGACCCCAAGAAAACCCCAAACGGCCCCCAAGAGGCTTCCAAAACTGCCTTCAGGGGGCCCCTGGGAGGCCTCCCACGAATCCCAAACGAACTTCCAAGAGGCCTCTGACCCACAACCCAGGCATGGTGGTGGGATGGGCCGAAGGCCACTAGATGGTCCATGACGGCTAAGGCAGCCTCCAGACGGCCCAAGAGGCCCACAAGATACCCAAGAGGCTTCCAAGAGGTCTCCCTACAGAGCTCGAAGAGGCCGCAAAGCATTTTTTGTTCATAGGTTTTTGAACAATTTTGGCGTTTCCGCTTTTTCTGGCAGGGCGCTGCGCTACAACCTCGATTCTACCAAGTACATGCTCCCGCAGGAGACGTGGGGGCGCATGCCGGCGACGATCCTCTGCGGGGACTTCTACCAGTTACCGCCGGTCCCCGCCAGCGCCTCCCTGCTGGCGCCTCACACGGGCCAGTCCTACGAGCACCAACAGGCTCGGAAGTTGCTCGCCGAATTCGAGTTCGTCGTCGACTTCGTGCAGACGCAGCGCTTCACAGACCCGCTGCAGGTCGAGGTCCTTCACGCCATGAGGACTCCAGGCGGCAAAAAGATCTCTGACGAGAGCTAGCAAGCGATCCTCAAAACAGAGATCGTTAGCTCCAGCGGTGCTGGTCAGCCTGCTGCCAGCACCAGCGAAGCCGCTCAGCAACCCCAGTTGGACCACCGGTTGCGTGCAGCCCGAGGCTGGTGCGAGTCGGCATATGAGTGGCGCATCGTCTCTTACGCCATGCATGCGCAGGCCAAGCTTGATGCGCACGATGCTGGCCAGCTGCTCTTCTACGTGCCGGCAGTCGACAGACCAGCTGCGCGCCTCGCGAAGCCTGACTTCGACAAGATGCGCGCGGAGCCCAACATCGGCGCTACTGGAAAAATGCCGGGGCTGCTGCCGCTCTTCCTCGGCATGGAGGTCATCCTGACGGAGTCCGTCTTGCCACCTAAGTATGTCCGCGGCACGCCGGGCAAGGTGGTAGGCATAGAGCAGCACGCTCTGGAGCCTCCGGTGGAAGGTCGCGCGTCCGTTGTCTCGGATGGTGTTGCGGTACTCCGCTACATGCCCAAGGCCGTCTATGTCAAGATCGATGACAGCGATGAGCTCTTCTTGAAGGCCGCGCCGGTGACTGCTGGCAGTGCTTCTCAGCCTGCCGGCCCTGGCCTGCGTGGAGTGCTCGCGATTACCCCGCAGGCCCGTCCCTGGAAGTTCAAAGCAACGGCGGATGGCCCGGCCATCACGGTCTCCAGGACACAGTTGACCGTGCTGCCCAAGAAGCAGGGCACTCTGCATGGCGTGCAGGGCAAGACGGCGGACCCAGGCTTCATCGTGCACTGGACGTTTCCGCCAGGACTCAAGAAAGAGTCCATTTGGCTGGCCTACTACGTCAGCCTGTCGAGGCCCCGGAGCTTCGGCCAGCTCTTGAGCCACGGCTTGCCTGACCGGAGCATCATCGAGTCAGGCCCCCCAGAACAAATCGCGAAGGCCTTCGACGAGTTCTTCGCAGACAAGATTGCCACGACAAAAATCGCCTGCGCGAAGGCCCGACAGGCGCTGGGCTGGCCTGCGCGAGCTTGAGGAGCCGTGAGATGCAGCCTGCTTTGTGGCGGTGCTGTTCAGCCTGGCCGTCTGCATTCGCGTGGTTCTTCTCAGCCCGCATTCGCGTGGTGCTTCTCAACCTGCACTCGTGCGCAGCCGTGGATAGTGAGATACGGTGCCCCTCAGCACGTTTCGTTCGAGGCTGAATCCATTGATAGCAGTGTCTCGTTTGGACTTACATCCAATGATAGCAGCGTCTCGTTTGGACTGAACACAAAAACAACGCGCTGTCGCGTTGATAGCAGTGCCTCCTTTGCAGAGACATCCACTATTTATAGCAGCGTCTCGTTTCCATACGCATCCGTCGTAGTAAGTAGTAGTGTCTCGTCCGGAATCAAATCCATCGATACTCGTGTCTCGTTTGGGGCGGAAGCCGTTGATCGCAGCGTCTCGTTTGCGCCTACACCCCTGCATAGCAGCGTCTCGTTTGGAATGAGCACAAGAAGAATGTGCTGTCTCGTTGAGAGTAGTGCCTCCTTTGCAGACACGTCCATTATTGATCGCAGCGTTTCGCTTCCAGTCAAATCCGAACATGAATCTAAAGAAGAATGCTTCCATATATGCTCATACACATGGCTGTTAGGTTGCTTTGCTGGGACTATCTGCTTCCCGACGCTGCAAAGCGCTCCGAGAGGCTCCGAGGATCGCCCCAAGACGGTCCAACAGGCTTCAAAAGCGCCCGAAGAGACGTCCAAGACGGCCCGAGATGGCCCCAACCGCGGCCCAGGATCGGGAACGTGAGCCGAGAACCCGAGATCTTCGACAATCCCCAAAGAGGCCCAAAACAGTCCCGAGAGAGGCCCCTAGGGCACTTGAGAAAAACTGGAATTCCAATATCTTTGTTTTACGTTTTAAGCTTCGCGCGGCAGATTCGCTACGCTTGCAAACGAAAAGGGAATATCATATTTCCTCCTCCTCCTCCGGTTCCTCCTCCTCTGTGGCCTCCTCCACCCTCTCCAACTCCTCTTCCTCCTCCTCCTTCTCTCCCAGGGAACCCCTTCACCTCCCCTTTTCCTCCCTCTTCCTCCGGTTTCGTCCAGCCGCGGCGAAAAAAAGGGCCCCCGAAGTACTTGTTGGGCCTGTCTCAAGCCGCCGTGGGCGTACCGTAGGAAGACTTGGAAGCCACTTGGGCCGTCTTCGTGGTTTTGAGAAGCCTCGAGAAGAAGTGACATGGAATAGAGACCCCCAAGATTTCGACCATCCAGTCTAGCTAGAACTTGCGCGCGCGAGAAGCGCGCGATGGTTCTAGTGTGGGTATAGCTATATATGTACAGTGCAGTCTATGTGGTGCAATTCACCCTGCTGAACCAATCTTTTCAACTCCACTGCTCGCGCAATCATCCCACCCACCTATCTAGCCGCAACCTGGTTTGCAAAACCCATGCGGCGGCGATTACGACTGCTTGGCGCTGGCTGGCGCATCGCCGCGGCCGCGCTAGCGCGCGCAAGCTCGCGCGCAGAGTGGCCAGTTAGTCTAGCGCGATCGACGCGGCCGAGGTGGCGTTGACCGCTGGGTGCTTCCCAGCGCGTCTCGCAGGCCGCGCTGAGGCAGTCGGTGATTCGGGCGGGCGCGGTATCATGGTGACGTCGGTAATGGCAGACACAATAATGCTAGCAGCGATGCTGGTGACGACGATAACGATGACGACGGCAATGCCAACGATGGCACCGACAGTCATCACGCAGATGACGATGATAGTGCCCACGTGTCGGTGATGAAGTGTTAATACGATTTCGACACGCGCGCGGCCGACGGGCGCGAGTGGTCCACATACCATTATTTGTCAGGGGCCGCGCCTCCTCCCCAACGCGCGTGCGGGCGCTCTAATAATTTCGTCATGCGCGCGCGAGAGGCCCGATTGACGCACTTGATGACAATAGCTAAGAACTCGAAGTTCTTCCCAGGTTTCGCAAATTCGCGCGCACGCTTTTTTGGACGAAAACATGTTGCACACCCATGCTTGTTTCTATAAGCGTCATGCTTTCGGGACAGTCGATGTTGAGCCCTTTTGCGAAACATGTTGTTTCTCTTTCGACGGAGTTCGGCATATGCGCGCGGCGACGCGCGCGTGCGTACTTCGTCCTGCTTGTTGCAAGGGGTTCTTGAAATTTGTTGCGGTTTGATCAACGAGTGCGCGCGCATGACATCATTTGACAGGGATGACGGGGCTAGTCGATACCAGCTTGGATGGGATGATCTGAATTCATGGGTACACTGAGCGATGGGACAGAGCCGCATGTAAATTGCGCATCCCCGAAGGGGAACGGATAATCCTGGGTGGTGGTGAGTGATAGGTCCGAACTCCCTTTGAAACATGCGAATCTATGCGACAAGGCGGCGGCGGTGCGGGCGGTGCGGCGACGGCGAGCACATAGCCGCCAGACCGCTACCCAAGCCCAGACGACGGGCGGCGACGAGGCGGCGACGGGACGGCGGCTGCGAGCACGGAGCCGCCAGACTGCCAGACAGCCAGACAACCCTGTTCCTTCAGAAAAGAAGCGAGAACCTCTAAGTGCAAAATTGTTCGGGAAAAAGGGGGAACAGCTGGATACGAAAAGCAAATGTCGACGGCCAGAAGCTTTTGGTTAGCGTGTCGCGCCGCTGTTTTTGGGCCACCACGGTTCGGCGCGACACGCCGTCCATTCGGCGCGACACGCCCTCCATTCGGCGCGAACGAATTTTTTACAGAAAGAATGGGTACGAAGACCGACGGCAGTTTTTGTCATTTTGAAGAGGACTCGTTGTCGGTGTCGCCGCGGATGTCACGCCGCAACTACCACGGTGTCCGGTGGTGGGGATTCGGATTTTTATGTCCAGTCTCCCTCGCTTCGCCTTCCCGCCCAGAGGGAGGAGGAAGGAAGGACGGAAGTTGGAGCGCGGCGAACGCAGATTCAGAGCCAGGGCCCAACACGCGGGAGGGACGGGGTAGCAGATGACACCCTTGCGGCTGAAGACTCCAGACAGCTCCCTACACGGTTACACGACGTGGGGATCACGATGGCTGGCCTCCATGTGCCACCGATTTCGGGGGCCCAGGCTTTCTCACCTTGACTCAAAACAGTATAAATTACCCCAGCAAAGCACCGTATAGTAGCAGCAGGATGAGGAGGCGGGTCGAGGCGTAGGAGGTCGATCGTCTAGTGAAAACGTGCTGGTACGGGGGTGAGGGCACGGCCACGCGCTGTTGAGCGAATTTGGTGCAAGGGATTGTGGCCGTCGAGGCCACGAACGTCGCCAGGATTGAGGCGAGAGTGCGATTCTTGATCAAGAAATGTGGGGAAGTGTCAGGCGAAACGGCTGCCGGACCGCTGCCGAACCAGAACCAGACTGTCTCGGGCTCCCCGTGCCCCCTTGAGGATTCTTCAGTGATCCTTGTTTGCCTGTGCGCCAGGCTCCCCCCCCTGCCCCCCGTGGACGCGCGAATCGCTGCTTTGCGCAACACGTGCATCATTTTTTCGGGGCGCCCCTTGCAGCAGGGCGCCGGATGCGCCAGCAAAGCAAATTTCGACTGTCACCATTCAGCGAGACGCCATCAGAGAGTGTAGAGCCCTTGCAGACAGCCGCTTTTAGGGAACCTCGAGCCCCCAGACATCCGGCGTCTCGATTTCGCCGAGACACGGGACCCCGACCTCGCGACCATTTCCCCGGGACTTGTCCTTCCTCCCGAGTTCTTTTTCGGACGGCCCCGAGGCCCAGTATGAGGGCCCCGAGAGGCCGAAGACGACGAAAGACCAAACCGTTTTTTTTATTTTTATCCTTTTTCGAGGCGCCGATGCTCCGGGCCCCGCGCGAGGGGGCCGGCAGCACCCAGTAGACTTACGTCGGGCGTGTCCCCCTACAGGAAGAATATCCCAAATAGTCCAGAAATGACATGGGAACGGTTTTTTGTTTTTGAGATGATTTTTGAATACTACTGGGGGAAGAAATCATCCAACATCCGCCTGTAGAGGGACATGCCCGACCTAGCGGTAGGCTCTGCGGCAGCGGGGGCGCCCGCGGCCGCTCGAGCGCAGCGCCCGCAGAGGACGGCCTGTGGGACAGCCCGTGGACCGTGCAGGGCGTGGCCGCGGCCAGCGGGCGGGCAGGCCCGGGCCCGGGGCGGCCTGCGGCGGGGCTGGCCGCAGGAGGATCGGGGCGATCGAAGTCAGGCTGAAACGCTGACGCTGGCGTGGGCGATGGAATAGTTATTTTCCGCATTCGGGTTGGAATGAGCGAGCTGAATTGCACATTTTCCTTGCAGCGGTCAGTACCACATTACCCATAGTCTCCTTATCTCTGGCTGTGCGCTCGACACATCGTGCCTCTACTGAATGAATGAATGAATGAATGAATGAATGAATGAATGAATGAATGAATGAAGGAAGTGGGTTCTGAAAGAGTGGGTACACAGATCGAAGGACAACAGCGATATGAGCATGAACTTTTGGCTCTCCGCGCGGATTTCTCGCATCCGCGCTGGGCCCAAAGGCGGCGCCTCCGGCGCCGCCCCTGGCGCGCTCCGCGCGCCAGGGAGGGGTGTCCAGCGCAGATCCAAAAAATCCGCGCGGAGCGCCAGAAGTTTATGTTTATGGCGTTTTTTGTTTGTATTATTCTAGTACGGAAGGAAGGGTACAAACCCAGACTCCCTCGCGTTGTGAAACAATCACGACGGGATGTGTGCTTCGCTAGTCTCAGCCTCTGGGGGCCCTTAGCAGGCCTCGGGGCCGTCCAATTCGGGATGAAACGCCGGTGCCGGGGGAGGGGGTCCAGACCTCTGTGGGTGAAGAAGCCACGACGTCGGGGATCCGGGAAGATCGACAGCAGTTCCTGTTCATTTTGAGCAGGGCTCGCTGTCCGCGCCGCCGCGGGCGTTGCCCCTTGAAGACGCAATGCCGCCCGCTTGTAGCAGCGGCCACTGTCGGATTTGGACATCATTTGCTGTTGGGCATCGTGCTCACGTTTTTCGTACCCGTTTCAGGCGTCCAAAGAGGAAGTCTGGAGTGCCACCTGGATCTAGCAGTGGCGAACCGTCCTGGCTTGCCCATGGGCCCACCACAGAGTGTTCTGAGAGCTTGTTGTGGTTTGCACGACGTGTTCTCAGAACATGCCTGGCTGAGACTGCCTTGTTTTGGCATATCGAGCTTATGTCCTCTGACAGATTTTGGTTATTGCAGCATTTGTTAGTTCTCAGAAGATGTCGTGGTAGGAATCTAGGAATGCCAGGACGGTCGGGCCCTGCTCAATTGGAGAGGGAAAAGGTATCCATACCGTTGCTCTCCGCCCGTTTTCGGCTTTGTGGGTCTCCTGGGAGGCCCTCGTCTCGACCGCTGGATTCGCCTCCAGAACCTGGGGATCCGAGGAGTAGCTGTATCTTTACCTGTTGGTTTCGCCAGTGTCCCTGATCTTGCGAAGGCCTTACGGCCGATGCCGCCGACCCTGAAGGGGGACGACGACGACAACGGCGGCGGCGGCAGCGACGACGACGACGCTGACGTGGGCCAGAGGGTTGCTTCTCGGGGTCTCTTCGGAAGGCTCTCGGGGGCCTCTGGGGAGGAATTCTGGAGCCTCTTGGGAGCCTCTTGGGGCCCCTTTGGGCGTTCTGGGGGCCTCTTGTGAGCCTTTTTGAGGTCTCTTGGGAACCTCTTGGGGCCTCCCGGGAGCCTCGGGGCCGAGGGCTCGACATGTCCATTCGGGCCCCCCATCGGGGCACGCTCTTGCAGCCGTCTTGGAGGCCTCTTGGGCCGTCTTGGAGGCGTTGTGGGGTGTCTTGGGGTCCTCGTGGGCTGTTCGGGAGCTCTATTGGAGGCCTCTTGGTCCGTTTTGGGGCGATCTTGGGAGCCTCTGGAGCCGTGTTGCAGTGGCGATGAGCGGGAAAGGGGAGAACGCTCAAATTCTGAAGAAAAGCTGAAGGACAATCCATGAATTTTGCATCGTGGGGCCCTTCTCGGGAGTGCTCTTGGATGCTTCTTGGGACGTCTTGGACCGATAGTTTGGCGATTGGGGCCCCTCTTGGACCGTCTTGGGACACTCTTGGCCTATCTTGGTACTTTCGGAGGCCCTGGGAGCCCGATGGACTCAAAGCAGCGGGCGACGGCGACGATTGCGTTGGTGACGGCGTCGGCGACGGCGGAGGCGGCGACGGCGGCGGCGGCGACGACGGCGGCGGTGGCGAGGGCGGTGGCGGCGGCGACGATTGTCTCGCGGCCTTAAAGTAGGGGCCTCGCGTGCGCGGGGAGGCGCCGAGTTTTACGACCTGTCCACGCCCTCCCCGTCGCCGGCGCCAGGGAGGGCGTCGCCGCCGTCGCCGCCGCTGTTCAGGGGAGAGGCATGGGTACGAGGATGGAACGCATGGAAAGGTGATCGTTTTTCTGATTCATTCTTTTGCCGATCGGCGCGGGCCCTCGCCCCCCCCCCCCTCCCCCCCCCTTGTGGAGTAGATCTTGGCTGCTTTTGGCGCCTCTTTCGAGCAGGTGGAGTCTCCACCATAGGACGCACGGTCCCAAACAGTCGCACCAAAGAGAGGTCTGGAGCCAGACGCCCCCCCCCTCCCGCCCCCTTCCGCCCAATGTCGAAACCCCGAATAGAAATGCACTCACAAGCATTGAGAGGAGCTCTCTCGGAGCGTTCCCAGAGCGCCCCCGCTTTGTTCTCATACGGGTTTGTCTTTGTCCAGCCTTCGTCTTGCGTCGCCGCCGACGTCGCCGTAGCCACTGCCGTCGCCGCCGTCCCCGTTGTCGCCGCCGTCGTCGCCGTCGTCACCGCCGCCGCCGTCGCTGCCGCCATCGCCGTCGTCCTCGCTGTCGCTGTCGTCATCGTCGCTGCCGCCGCCGTCGCTTTCACCGCCGTCGCCGCCGTTGCCGCCGCCGCCGTCGCTGCCACCGCCGTCGTCGCCGCCGCTGCTGCCGCCGCCGCCGTCGTCGTCGCCGTCGCCGGGGCACAGCCAGGGGGATTGCTGAGGGGGAGGAGAGGGTCGCCATGAAGACTCATTTGAGAGACCTTCGAGGGTTCTGGGTCTCTTGGCCCATTGATCCCGACGGCATGGCGTGGCCCGGGCGCCCGATGCGGTCAAGGTTGCAGTGAGTCTGCGTGGTTGGTGGCCTCGGCCAGCTGCTCATTTCATCAGCATCGTCAGACCGATCACCATCCCCATTGTGCAATGGAATGTCAGGACTAGGTGCCGTGAAACCCGAAAGGACCAACATGTATCCACACTTAGGGGGTAAGTCGGCTAGCTGGGCCAAGGCGTTTAATATACGATGCTCGATCCACCAGACCCTGCAGCATCAGCCCCGACACAATTAGTTACGTTGCATCTTCGGGGGGCCTTACCTGTCCTGTGAACAGAGGTCTTTTCCTGTATCTGACGCGGGTTCGGCACAGATCCGGCGTGGATCCAACGCGGATTCGACACGGATTTGACGTGGATTCGACGTGGATTCGCCGCGAACAGTGGCAATGGGACAGACAAGACATCCCCAAGATGCAGAATCATATTCGCCCGAGGTGGTTCTATTTTCACTAAACAGTGTGTGTACTTAGGGTTCCTTATTTCGGCTCTAGGGAATTAGGCAGTGTCTTCGATCTGGCGGCTACATGGCCGTGGTCGCCGCCCCGTCGCCGCCTCGTCCGCGCCCGTCGTCTGGGCCAGTCTGTCGTTCTGGCGGCTATGTGGCCGCTGTCGACGACATGGGCTGCACAACATATATCGCACCGCATAGAGTGCAGAACACATTAGATATTGCACCACGTAGATTGCACCAAAGAGACTGCGCAATGTAATTTGCACCACGTAAACTGCACCACGTACATTGAACCACGTCGTTTGCGCCACATTCATTGCCCCACGCGTCTTGCACGACAAATAATGCACAATCAGTATTGCACCACGTAAGTGACACCACATATATATAGTCCCACAAAGATTGCACGATATACATTCAACAGCATACATTGCGCAACATACACTGCACCACGTGCACTGCACCACACATATTGCACAACCTATACAGCCAGATGCACATTGATTAGGGCTCACTCTGGCAAGCGTACACACGTTTTACTCATGTAACTACACATGTAGGTATTCCCCTTTTATTCCCTACCTAGGCTCTGCCTAGAAGGGTTCCTACTGTGTTCTGTTAAAGGGCCTGGCAGTGGGGCTCGCCCCGGGCGGTTCCCCCGGCATCCGCCCCGCTTAGCTTTAGCTTAGCTTTAGTTTAGCTTTAGCTTAGCTTTCGTGTAGCTTTAGCTCAGGTTTAGCTTAGCTTTAGCTTTAGCTTTAGCTTAACTTTAGCTTAGCTTTAGCTTAGTTTTAGCTTAACGTTAGCTTAGCTTTAGCTTAGAATTAGTTTTAGCTTAGCTGTAGCTTAGCTTTGGCTTAGCTTTTTGTTTAGCCTTAGCTTAGCTTTAGTTTAGCGTTAGCTCAGCTTTATCTTAGACTTAGCTTAGCTTTAGCTCAGCTTTAGCTTAGCTTTAGCTTAGTTTTAGCTTAGCTTTGGCTTAGCTTTAGCTTAGCTTAGCTTCAGCTTTAGCTTAGCTTTAGCTTAGTTTTAGATTAGATTTAGCTTAGCTTTAGCTTTAGCTGTAGCTTATATGGTCCTTAGCTTTAGCTTAGCTTTAGCTTATACTTAGCTTAGCTTCAGCTTAGCTTTAGCTTAGCTTTAGCTTGACTTTAGCTTTAGCTTAGCTTTAGCTTAGATTTAGCTAAGTTCTAGCTTAGCTTTAGCTTAGCTTTAGCTTAGATTTAGCTTAGCTTTAGCTTAGCTTTAGCTCAGCTTTAGCTCAGCTTTGCTGAGCTTTAGCTTAGCTTTAGCTTAGCTTTAGCTTAACTTTACCGTTACTACTAATGCTGCTTTCCTAGGGGCTCCAACTCCTAGGTAGGGCCGCACTGGGATAATATATTTTTACAAACCGGGCGGAACCCGAAAGGGGTGCCCCCCCAAAAAAACCGGACTCCCAGGATCTGGGGCTTCGAGACCCTCTGGACGGGCCTCGAACTGGCCCCCCAGGCCTCGCAGGGCGTTTTGCCAAGCCTTCCCAGCACACCTAAGGCGATCAGGGGGGTCATCGGAGACGTCCCAGAGACCCCCAAGACAGCACAAGAGCGGTCCAAGAATGACCGACGTGACCTCCAGATGGCCCAAGAGAGGCCTCCAGGACTGTCTCAAAGAGGCCTCCAAGAGCACTCCCAAGAAGGCCCCAAGAGGCACAAATCATTGATTTTCTGATAGTTTTTGGTGAATTTGGGGGTTCTCCTCTTTTCGGCTTCCCGACGCTCCAAGACGGCGGTCTTCTGGGCGTCCGAAGCCGCCTGGGAGGCTCCACAATCGCCCCACAACCATCCGAAAGGTCTTCCGGGCAGTCCAAGAGAGCCCCAAAACGGCACAACACGGGTCCAAGATGGCCCTTAGAGAGCCCCATGGCGGCCCAAGATAGCCCCAATACACCCTCCGAAGCATTCCAAATCGGGACCCGGTCGTTCAGGGAGACCGCGGTTGGAGGTAGGGTGGCCCGAGGACGCCCCCAGAATACGCCCAGGAGGCCTCCAGAGGGCCTTAAGAAAGCCTGAAACAACTTTTGTGAGGCCCCCAGAGGCTCTCCAAGGAGGAGCCTCCGCAAAAAAGAGCTGCGGAGGATGGGGAGAATGCGCAGGGTATGGCGAAAATGAAGAAAAATAAGTATGGAGGAAGGATAACGAATAACATTATGATAGCGGCGATGCCGGAAAAGGCAACAAGGAGATATCGCTAAATTGTCGGCTTGACCTTCTTGCTACCCCGCCTGTACACCAAATTGTTGACGCTTCGCGTATCCCCACCAGCCGTCCCTTCTTTTGCTCCCCCCTCCGCTCGCTGGCACACGTTCAGCGTCCGGTTTTTTGCCTTCTCTGTCCTCCCCTCCTGGTCTGCCCATCCGTGGCCGACTCGCCTCTGCTGCTCTCCGGCAGGGTTTCGACCTGGCCCCACCTGAGGGTCCGGCCTGTGGTTGCCCACCTGTGGCCGCCTCGCCTAATCGTCTTGCATGTGCATTCCACGCGTTCTCGCGCTAATCTTCGTGCGCTGTGCCCCAGCCTCGTTCTGACCGCCCTCTGGACTTTTCCTTGCGGGCCGCAAATCAAAAAAGTATCCCCACCAGCCCATCCAGAAACGATGCCCAGGGGAGTTGAGGTGATCAGGGAAGTCGGGGAGCATGCAGAATAACAAAGGGCGGGGGAAGCTGTCACGTACCCCAAGAGGGGGAGGATGGAGAAGGAATCCTCGTCGGAGGGGGAGGGGGAGGGGGAGGAAGAGGAGGAGGAGGAGGAGGAGGAGGAGAATGAGGAGGAGGATGTGGAGTAGGGAGAGGACGAGGAGGACGAGAAGGAGGAGAAGGAGCAGAGGGAGGAGAAGGAGGAGAAGGAGGAGAAGGAGGAGGAGGAAGAGGGGGATGAGAAATTGAAGAGGACGGCGAACCGAAGAGCCAGAAGCGTCTTAAATGCATTTCGGAGATCCTCTTGAGGCTTCTTGGGGGTCTCTTGGGAGCCTCTTGGAGGCCTCTTGGGCGCCTCTTGGGGCCGTCTGGGCGCCTCTTGGGGCGCTCTTGGGGCGCTCTTGGGGGCTGTAGGGGCGCTCTTGGGGCCATCTTGGAGGAGATCGATCAACGAAGGGGGGTTCCCTAATTAGCCTCCCCCCTCAGGAGCTCCAAACATCGCCTCTTGGGGCGCTCTTGGAGCGCTCTTGGGCGCTCTTGGGGCCGTCTTGGGGCTCTCTTGGGCCTCTTGTGGGGCCCTCTTGGGCCATCTTGGAGCCATCTTGAGGCCTTGGATGGCCATCGGAAGCGAAACGGGGAGAAAGCAAAAAACATTGATTTCCTCAAGGTTTTGGGGCGATGTTGGCCTCTTCGGGGCCTCCTTGGGGAGCTCTTTGGCCACTTGGAGCCGTCTTGGGGCCGTCTTTGGGCCTCTTGGAACCATCTTGGGAGCCATCTCGAGCGATCTTGCGCTATCTTGAGCCATCTTGGAGGTTATCTTGGGCTCGCTGAGGCACTCTTGGAGCCATCTTGGGGCCAAAAGAGCCGTCCGACCGCTCGCGGAACCCTCCGTCCAGGTCCAGGGGAGGGGTCGGGGGAGGGGTTAACCCCTCCCCAAGGGGGAAGAGGGAGGGGTGAAAGAGGATCTGTTCTAGACCACCTACGCCCAGAGGGCAGGTGGGACTTCAAGGACCAAGGTGCATGGCCCGAAGCGCCAATGCAGTCTTATATATATATATATATATGTATAAAGAGAGAGAAGGTGGACGTGGTGGGCGGGGGCGCGCAGCATCGCAGTGCGGGCGGGGGATTGGCCCAGGGGGGGAAGCGTCGACCCTCAATCGCCTATTTCTCGCCGGTCGGGGCTGGGGTGGCCCACTCCCCGCCCAGGAACGTATGGCTTCGCTCTCGAGGGCCTATCGCCGATCTATCGGCGATGCATCGCCGATTCCAACTCCACGTTCCCCTCACTCAGCCAGCCTCCCCCCCCATCGTCCCTCCGGAGTTCCTGGCCCCGCCCAGGTAACAGCAGTAAAAACAAACTGATCTGTTTTAAATATGGGCTCCTGCCACGATGCGTCCTGACCGATTCGAGGAAGATGGGCAGGGGGATCGCCGCGAGGAGTCAGGCCGTGCAGGGGATCATTGGTACTGCAGGTGCAGACGGGCGCCGCGAGTGCCTAGGGTCGCGCTGCCGCCAGGTGCCCCTCAGGGCCCAGGGGGGGATCGCCACGACGAGTCAGGTCTCCCAGGGCATGTTGACACGACAGCTGCAGACGGACGCTGCGAATGCCTAGGGTCGCCCTGATGCCAGGTGCCCCTGGGAGATCGCCTGCGTACTCCGTGAAGCCCGCCGGGGGGGGGGGAGGAGGAGGGGAAGGGGAAGGAGGAGGAGGAGGAGGAGGACAAGGAGAAGGAGAAGGAGGAGAAGGAGAAGGAGGAGTTGGGTGGCCCTACAGTTTTCTTCCGGCTGGCCAGGTCCAGGATCGGACGGCGCGTGCCTGCAGTGCTCTTGGCTGCGCCCAGAGCTGGCCTGGCCAGGATGGGTTGTCAGCTCATCCTCGTGCGTGCTGGGAGATGTTTGTCGGAGCGGCGTGTGCTTCGTGCGGCATCCCAGCGTAATCATCGAGACTTTCGGAGAGAAGAGGGCCTACCAGCAACTCTCGCGAAACTCGCCGAGCGATGGCCGGAGCTGATCGAATGCACTCTGATCCGTGAGGTGTGCCGTAGACAGTTGACATCCTCCTGAGAGGTGCTGGGTCCCGTCGCGGCGCCGGCGATGTCGTGCTTGTACCAGCCCGTCTTCTAGGCCCTCTGGCTGGGGTCACCGCGCAAGTACATGGGAGCAGCGGTCAGTTTCCCTTACTCATCTTGATCACCATGCCCCCCTCCCTCATGGGCAGATTTTCCATCACCGCTACCATAGGTAGGACGGGGGAGAAGGAGGGATGTGGAGGTCTGGGAGAGATGGGGGATGGGAAGGTCCTTCTCCTCCTCCTCCTCCTCCTTTTCCTTTTGTCGTTGCGCAGACTCGGTGCCCCTTCTCCTTCTCCTCCTCCTCCTCCTCCTCCTGCTCCTCCTCCTCCTCTTCCTCATCCTTCTCCTCCTGCTCCTCCTCCTCCTGCTCCTCCTCTTCCCTCTCCTGCGGTAGTAGTGGTGGAAAATCGGCCCATCATTCCCAAACCCCTCTCCCTCCTTCTTCCTGCTGTCTCCTGCCTCTCCTCCTCGCACTGCCGGCTCGCTTCTGAGGTCACCCAGGTCCCAACTGTCGCAGTGTGCATGCGGTCGTGTGTGTGTGTGTGTGTACACATCGCCGGTGCTGGCAGGTCGAGGTCAGCACGTCAGCACTGGCATGGACCCGAGGGTCATCTTGTCTCGCTTCGTCTCCTCGTGCCTCCACGCTCCGTTCTGGCTGAAGCCTCACGCCGGGGGGGTGCGAATTCCGCGCTCGACCTCTGCCCGTTGCACCGCTCGCTCGGCCCCCAATCCAAGCATACCTGCACGTCAGTGCCGCACGACTCGAGTGCAGTGCGTCATTCTTGCAGTCTTCATGTGGCGCGCGCCAGACAGGGCACTTCCTTCGGCGCGCCCTCGCCCTCGGCGGAAGCCGGGGGAAGGCCGGCGGACGCCGTCGGGAGCAAGGCGGTGGCGGCTTCAGCGAAAGGCTGGCGCCAGGCGGCTGAAGCAAAAGCGAGATGCCAACATGTTTGTTAGAGCGATACCCAACGACCATGACGCTTCCGTTTGAAGGAGGTGCACGGTACGGAAAAGGGGGGCGGGCACCTCCTTCCGCCTCCCCCCCCTCCCTTTCGTGTGCGGGGTTGAGTGGTTGAGTGGTTGGTCGTTGGGTATCGCTCCCTCGCATGGTTGGGCTGAGGATTTCCCCAGCTGGCACTGTGAATGAGCCATGCTCACCAAAAACGGAAGATCCAGTGGCCACACCGTCGGTGAGTCAGCGGGGACTCGGGGCACTGCACGGTCTTGGGGCTCTGGGCGTTCTCCGAGGACGCCTCGGGCCACTGGTGCCTTTCAGGCCCCCACAGCGGTGCGGTGACCAACCGTGCTGATGGGCTTGTTTTCCACCACCACCACCATAAGTTGGAGGCGGGAAGGAGGTGGAGGAAAAGGAGGAGGAGGAAGAAGAAGAGGAGGGGGAGGAGGAGGAGGAGGAGGAGGAGGACCCTGTCCCCCTCCTACCTTATGGTGGTGGCGGTGGAAAAGAAGCCCACCACGTGCAGTGAGATCCCAACGGTCGCCGCCACGGCACGGTCGCTCTCCAGATGCCCCTGGGGCTCCAAGCCACAGAGCCCGCAATTCCGGAGTGAACTTCCGCGCGGTCAGCGCCGCGCTGGTCTCGCAGTGGAGTTCCAGCGCTCGAGCACCCGAGCAGCATGCAGGTGGGTCGCGGCGAGCGTCCTGTCGGCTCCGCTCGGGCCGGTGCGTCCAGGGCCGTGCCCGACTTGCGCGGCAGGGTCCACGTCGATCCGATCGGTCCAGTTCGACATCGGCTCTGGGCGGCCCGGTCCGTCTTGATTCCGATGCGGGGACTCATCCATGACCGCCGCCTGGGGTATCGATCTGTGGGGGCCAGGCTGTCAACAGATTCGGGCCTCGCGGGTTTCACTCACTCACTCACTCATGCCATACGCCGGAGCGCGTGGGCGATTGAAGTCACGGCCAGCCTATTCTCACCGCCTGCCGAGATTCCCCGAAGATGGATCATCGAGGCAGTGGTTATGGATGAAGCCCTGCCTTGTAACATCGATTCCGATGTTCGACGATCCAATGCGGCCCGATGTTCGCGTGACTCTGCTGTGCATCCTGGCGCGGCCGATCTGGTTCGATCTCGACTCCGTGCCGGTGCAGCCCGATCCGACGCGCTTTTCGATTCGACCCGGCTTCCTTTTTCGGTGTTTCGATGCTGACCTGGTCCTGACTTTTTGAGGTGCGCCGGCGGATGTTGCAGGCGGGAGGTTGGAGGTTGACGTGCGACCCGAGCTGTCTACCCAGACGCGCGCTCTCACGGTGGGGGCATTCGTGAAGGAATGTGCCCAGGAGGCTTCAGACCCTGGAGGATTCCTTATCAGATGAGGGCGGCGGTGGTGTCCATGGCCAGGCCACGATTGGAGTTCCACCAGATTCCAGACCCTGGATTCCTTCTCCAAGGATTTCGTATCCAATGCCCTCGCCGTGCTCCCGCCCTCAATTTTGTGTCATTCCTTCCGCAGGCAGTAGCGCGGTTCGCCACGGGAGGTGGGAGCGGCTCGCGAGGGAGTGCCGTCGCTTTCGTCGTTCTTGCTCCTCCAGCTAATTCAGACAGGCGATTATTTAAATGTTTTCCCAAGCAGCGCGGAGTCGAAGTTTTACCTGCCATCATGTGCGTTCTGTCAGAGGGCGCTATGTCATTATGATACAATTTGTTTTTTCAAGGATTTTGTAAGTCACATTCATTGCGATTTCGCATGGGGATTCCATGAAGTAAGTCTAAGCGATCGTGATGCGTGCGCACGACCGCTTTGGTATCGAAGCATATGCACGCCGCGCCTAGCGCTTAGTTCGCGTCTGAACTCGCAGGTCAGAGGCTGCGCCTCGTTGATAGGGTGCAACCTGGTGGAATTCCAACGCACGGCGAACGTCACACGGCGCGTTCTGGAAAGGGCGGCGTTTTCGGCACATCTCGCCTTCGGCGAAAGGCCAGCGGAAGCCCAGCGAGAGCCGGCGGAACCAAAACGGCGGTGGCTCCGCTGATTGAAGGCCAACGGAAGTCGACGGAATTCAAAGTGAGACGTCAACATTTCTGAGTTCAGGGGTCTGGAGTCGGCCACCTGTTTGCACAGGGCCCAGACATCCGACGTCACGTTTTTCTCCACAGCGTGGCTGCCTGGAGGTCTGGGCCTCTTCCCAGGGACCGCCTGTTCATCTTGATTGGTGTCTTGGCAGTCCCTGGGCATGGCGAGGGCCCCCGGAGGCCAGAAGCTTTAAAAAAAGATGCGAAGTGTTTCTTGTGCAGCGCGAGGGGGCCATGGAATTGTTCGCACCGGAACAGAGTGAGGAAGTTCGAGTGCGGCAGCAGTCTCGCCTCAACGCGCGGGCTGGCACGTCGCATGTTTTCTTCCTCTTCATCCTTCCTCCCTCCTCATCGTTCTCCTGTCCTTCTCCTCGTGGTCCTGCCCCCCTTTCTGTTGGTATCAATTGACAGCTCCTTCCATCGTTGTTATGCTTCCTCCTCTCGCACATCATCCTCCGCCTCGTTCTCTCTTCTTGCACGCGATGACTCGCGGCAGGATGAGGAGGAAGAGGAAGAGGAGGAGGAGGAGGAGGAGGAGGAGGAGGAGGAGGAAGAGGAAGAGGAAGAGGAGGAGGAGGAGGAGGAGGAGGAGGAGGAGGAGGGGGAGGAGGTACTGGTGCCTCGGGATGTGCGATTAGGAGGAGGAGGTGGAGGAGGAGCAGGATAGCTCTCTTCGTTCCTGCGTTCGGCCGAGAAGCCACACTCGGGACGGCCGTGGGCTCGGAGGCGGCTCTGGCGCTCGGCCGTTCCCGAGAGCCGCGTGCTCCGAGCTGGATCGGGGGACCTGTCCGTGGCCGGGCCTCGCCGTGGCCGGATGAGCTCACGGGCCTGTTTTTCCACCACCTCCACCAGAAGGCCGTGGAGGAGGAGGAGGAGGACGAGGAGGAGGAGGAGGCCTGCTGGAGGGGGGAATGAGGTGGAGGACGAGGAGGAGGAGGAGGAGGAGGAGGAGGAGGAGGAGGAGGAGGAGGAGGAGGAGGAAGGGGACCCCCTCCCCCTCCTACTTAATGGTAGTGGTGGTGGTGGTGGTGGAAAGCAGGCCCACCATAGGCATCCTTTTCGGTCTTTTTTTCAGCGCGTCGCATGCCAGCACGAGTGCTGTACGATGTTGTACTGGTGCTCGATTTGAATGTTGTTCGTTCGCTTTACCCTCCTGTCTGCTCCTGCTCCCCTCCTCTGCTTCCTCCGTCGATTCCCCGCGTCGCGCCCCCCTTCCCTCCCCCCCCTCCCCCCCCTGCCATGCCGACCGCCCTCAGGATGCCAGTTTTCGCTCACGGGTGAGGGCAGAGCGCCTGCGCTTGTTTCAACAGATCTGCCCGTTCTACTGTATCATCGGGATCGTTCCCGAAGATCGGGGGACGTCAACTGACCACCCCACGGATCCTGGCCGCGCCCATCCTGGGCCCAGGATCGGTGCCGAGCCGATCGCCTGCTTTGGCCAGGCAGGCATTTGCACGGATCCTGGGCACAGGATGGGCCAGGCCAGGATCGGGGAGGTGGTCATTTGATGATCCCGCAGCAGATTGGAATGCCTCGAAGGCTGTCCTTTCTAGTGTTTAAGTTGTCCAAGTATCCTCGGCAAGATCAGTGCATTCGTTGTAAGTGTCTCTTTCCGCGGGCATCTCGTGTTCAGATTTGCTGACTGCCCCCGCTGCGTCACACAGCATTCCACACAGAATCGGGGCACATTTCTTGGCCCTCCCAACTCTTGCTCAGAGGCTGCCGATGCCAGCGCTTGCGCACAAGCTCACCGCACGTACGGTGGGGGCCTTCGTCAAGCAATGTGCCCAGGAGGCCTCAGACCCTGGAGGGCCACTTCTCTAGAGATGGCGGCGGCGATGTCCATGGCCGATCCACGATTGGATTTCCCCCGGCTTCTGGACCCTGGCACGATTCCGGGGCTCGAGAGACTGGGGTACGTGGGTCAGTCAGAGCGCCGGATCTCGCAGGACTCTGCAGGGCCGCGTGCGCAGGGACCCGGGCCTGCGTGCAGGAGCCTGCCAGGCCTGACCGACCCGGGT